AAGTGGGACAGAGACACAGCTGGAACAGCTGACTCCAACTGACCAAAGGTGTCACACTTACCATATAAATCTAGGGGAAGAAGGAACCTGATTATAAAATTGGACAGATCACACAACTGAAAAATATGCAAATAAAAAACTTGTGATGATGTTTAAACAACAGAGGTATATGAGAAAGAGGTAGCAGGAGTCCCATGTACTTTAAAACTGGTTATTTGGATATAGCCTACTTTGGTCACTGAGAGTCTTATGATTTGCATTAATCTCTAGCTTAAAGAGCACTGTGTATAAACAATTATATTAGTAGGACAGAAACTCTATGCTATTCCTAACTGTTATGCAAATTTTAATTTCTATTATGTATTTTTGAGTTAGCATCCAGAAAACACAATTTTGTTTTTGAAACTTAACACAGAGACAACAGAAGAAGAACAAACAGAAGCACAGAACTTGCCAAACTTTATTGTAGCCAGCTTCTTGTTCCTTATGTATCTGAATTAGCTTCTTCCTCCTTTTTAATTCCATTTCACTTCTGTGTCCCTTCTAAAGAAGAATGAAATTGTTCTGGGATATGCTTTCTTTTCAGAAAGTCAAAAGTCAGAGGGAAATAAATGTTTCTTCATTATATCTGCAAAAGCTAATTTAAATTTTGGGTTAGGCTATTACAGCTTTCCATGAAGCTACAGTTTCAGTTGGGATTTGCTTTTCACTTCACCTGAAAACAAGTGTGGTTTACAAAACAGGCTTCTTTCACATTTGGAGGGAAAAAAAAATTGAATGTCTTCAAAGAGCAGCAGCTACCAGCTGAGAGAATTGTAGAATAATGAGATTGGAAGTGACCACTGGCTGCCTCCCGTCCAACCTAACTTCTTCTCAAAGTGACATCAATATGAAACCACACCATGTTGCTCATTACTTTATCATGTTAGGCACTGGAAATCTCCAAGGATGGAGATGGTAAAAACCTCTCCGGCAACCTGTTCCAATGATGGACAGCCTCCATGGAAAAAGTTTTCCCGTGTAACCTGTCTGAAATGCTCTTGTTTCAATTCAAGTCAGTTGTTTCTCACCCTGTTGTCATGGAGCACTGTGAAGAGGTTGCCTTTCTTGACAACCTCTGCCCAGACTGTTAGGCTGCCATTAGGTCTCCCTGGAGCCAACAAAGAAAGGAATATTTTTTCTTTCCCAGGCTGTACAAGAGCAGTACCCTTGGTCTCTCTTTACATTGCAAATGCTATGGCTTCCTGGCTGTACCAGTTGCCCTCTGTCAAACTTTCTCCAGTTTATAGATGTCTTACTTTTACTGGGGACCTTAAACTGGATGCAATATTCTAGATACCAAGAATCTTTCCTCTGGAGAAAATAGAAGGGGATTTTATTTTTTACCCCTGAAGGTCTCCACTTTTTTCCCTCCTTTAGGCATGTCTGTGTGTAATTACTTCACACATACAGATATTCTGGACCTAAGTATCTCTCCCCTGATTTTGTATGATCAAATGATACTTTGCTTTTCCTGGATTATGCTAATGTTAGTGAAAGTCAGATTGGTAAAAAAATGCACATTTTAATGGTATTGTTTACATATGTATGCATACAAAATAGTTAATACACACACACAGTCATTACTTTTGTGACCAAATCCTTGAAATGTTATTGTGTGTTAAGGCACAAGTAAAAGTGATGTAGGTATCACTTGTACGCATTAATGGGAACCTCTAGGTAATTTTGTTTGCTTTGTTGTTGTTTTTTAATTTTTTTTTTTGTTCTGTTTTGTTTATTTGTTTTTGTTTTCTTAAAATTGCTTCTTCTAAGTTAAAGGATGATGTAGTGTCCTGGTTCTGACCAGCACAGGGTAATTTTCTGCAGTAGGCAGGAGGGAGCATGGCTGTGACCCAGAGGATATTCCACCTCATGACATTTTCCAGTTGGAGGGAGAAGGGAGTCTTTTCTGGGGAGAAGGGGCTCCTTCCCATTGGGATAGCATGGCTGTGGTTGGGTTGGGATGAGAATTGTGCATGTGAATCACTCTCTCTTTTGTATGCTTTTGTTATTAATATTGTAGCTGTTACTGTTTATTTTGTTGTCTCATTGCTGTTTCCAGTAAATTATTCTTATCTCAACTCCTGAACTTCACCTTATGTGCCTCCAGTTCTCTTTTCCATCCTGTTGCAGGGGAAGAAGCTGGAGGGAGAAGGGGGCAATGAGCGAGTGGCATGTAGTTTGGAGAATCCCTCATTAAATTGGGGAGTACCATTCCTAAACCAAGACTCATAGAAATCTCAGTTAAAAAAAAAAAGGAGACAAAGAATAAAGTAGGAGAAATGCTTTTTGTAATGCCAGGGAAGACCTAAGAGCAAAAGGAGAAGTCACCAGATGAGCCAAAATTCTCAAGCCCTTGTCATGCTGGGGCTTAAGACAGAAAATGTAAGAATCTGGTGAAGACCTTAAAGAACAGTACGCGAAGGGAATGTGCACCTGGCATTGCCACATTGCAGTTTTACAGTTCTCATGAAGATTGGAGCATATGTGGAAGCCTATATTTTGCTCACTGGGGAATTACAAAGTCCAAAAAAGAGCAGTAACTCTTGGGAATGCAGTTTTGAACAGCAAATCATAGAGCTAACTCACTTGGATCAAAGCAGCAAACTTCCACCCCAGTTCAAAACAGACTGTCTAAAATCACTCCCAGTGCTTATTCTAGACTACCATAGTATGGCAAGCACCATGAGGAAATAAGAAGACCCAGCAGACATCCATACATGCGTCCCTTCCACATATAAATCAGAGTGCAAATTTTCATTCATTTGGGATGGCTTGGGAAATGCATTGTCTACCTTGTTATTCATAATTACACTGGCATCCCACCCTTGGCCTAGTACAGTTCCCAAACTTTATGCACATGTGACATTCTTTTCTGTCTCCCTTGGCATGTGTTTAAAGTACTGTCACACTATTGGATGACAAGGGCTGCAGATGTCCACGTAAATTAAAGGAAACTGTAACCAAAATGTCAAGAAGTTCATAAGAATCCTCATAATGGTGCAATTAATTTCTAATCATGTCAAAAGACAGGCCTGAGAAATTAAATGTTGCTGCTTATGCACTTATAGGAGTCCTTGTTGCCTTTTACAACCCTTTCAAGTTCGGCTCCAGATGGCCTCTGGCTTTTCAAGTCATGTCTTTGTATGCTTAAGACAGTGTTTCCATACAGAGAGGTTCTGATTCATAACCTGAATGTCTTAAGTATGGAATACTTAAGGCATTCAAAACCCCTCTGGACCTGGGCAACCAGGTCTCAGTGGTCCTGCTCAAGCAGAGCTGGACAAGACAGCCTCCAGAGGTCCCTGCCAACCTCAATCAGTCACTCTGTGGGTCCACTTCGGAACACATCAGCCTCTAGAACAGTGAGATAGGTAGGAGATAAAATCTTCTACTTTAGATGTTATAACTTGTATAAATCAGTAGCAATACAAAAGTTCTTGCCCCAGGGGATAATCAGGTGAGCGCTCCCACACCTTCTGGATAGATTTTGCAAATGCTGTCAACCAACTTACAGTGAAATTTTGACTGTTCAAATTAACATGGTACATCCTACTGCTGATTCCCGCAAGTCATTATTGTTAATATTTCTGGGATTTAAAGCATTTACAAAGTAAATGGCTGTTGCTGCCTACTACACTTGTTAAACATTGTATGTTAGTGCAAATTCGACAGGCTATGCCAAAAATGTAAGTCAAAAATCAGTGAAAAGTCTCCTACAATGTGTACAGATCAACACAAGCAAATTCTTAATTTCTAAAATATCAATAAAAAATTGCACTTCAGTTTTTAAATTATTCAAAAAAAACCCCATTTAAATGAGTAATAAGGGCACCATAATAAATTCTTTCTAGCTTGGTAAATCATACCATAATTTGTGCACACACTAAATGCTGACCAAATTCATTAAATGCAATAATCACAAATTGCTTGGGGTTTCTATTCACTATTAACAGGCTTTAAATAAATGCCTATGAGATTTAGGAACAAAAGTTGTTTTTGAAACTTCCCTCCAAGGTTTTAATAAACTTAATGAGAAGGGAAAACTTGAAAAACCTCTAGAAACCTGAGTATTTTTGACTTTCAAATGCTGAAACACTGAAAACATACACAGTTCTGCTACTGCAAATGCTTTTTAGACATAAATAACTAGTCCTCTTTATTTCCAATGAGTATAGTATTCACACTAGATTTATTATTTACCTCTGTAGCCCACATCCCTCATCACAGACATTCAGCCTTCAGATTCACAATTTTCAGCTGTGTTGATGCCAATTCTCCTGCCTTTAACCTGCTGGCAGCTCTGTATCTCCTCTCACACAGGAGGTCAGGATGAAATGAGAGCTGTAACCCAACATCACTCCATAAAACAACCTAACTCCTTCACTAGACCACACAGAGCTTTTCCTTAGGGACTAAAACCCACTGATCCATGCAGATATTCAGTGCAGCCCACCTAAATTAATGAGAATGGGTATTTTTCTCATTCTCCATACTGCCACAGAACATAAGGCATTAAAAGGCACATATATTGGGGTTGAGGAAGAAACGGGTATTTTAGAATTACGAATTTATTATTCTAAAATCTATATTGACTAAGTTATGTATGTGCAAACAATCAGGGAAGAAACAAGCATTTATGTAATCTGGTTCTTTTGTCCATGTGTTTTTAAGTGATCACATTGCCATAGCAAAGCTTTTTAGTGTAAAAATCAGCCACCACTGACTTTTCAATTCCCTTAGAAGAAACTAATACAAAATTCAGGCTATAAGAAGGGGACTCCTGTTTCAAAGAGATGGTTGGTGAGCAGTAGAGCAGAAATGCAGGCTTTGATTCATTGATGTATTCACATTTTTCCAACAAATACCTATTTGATAAGGCCATTTCCTCACTCAGTCAGACATCATACAGAAAATTTCCCCTATGAGTCACTCATTCATAATAGAATCAATCATTTTACCTGTAATAAACACGCAATGTTTGGACTTCTTCCTCTAGTTTTTTGCACTGTTGAAGAGCAGCGTCCTTTACTTGTTGCAAAGCTATCAGTTCTGCCTGTGAAATGATAAACAACCGATAACTAAGTTATTCAGAACATCCATACTTTTTTGAAAACACATCAATCTGTGCAATAATTTCAACCATTATAATTGCAAACATAGAGTTATACTGTTGTATGTAACATAGTGTTCTGGTTTAACCCCAGCCAGGAACTAAGTACCAGGCAGCTGCTTGGTCACTTCTTTCTCCTTCTTCTCACTGATGGCATGGTGAGGAGAATCAGGAAAGAAAAGAAAATCAAACTTGTTGATTGAGATAAGAACAGTTAAATAACTGAAACAAAGTAGAAGATAATAATAATAATGATATTAATATGAGTAATTGTAATAAAAAGGAGAGGGACAGAGGGAGATAAATCCCAAGACAGGCAAGTGATGTCCAATACAACTGTTCACCATGTGCTGACTAATGCCAAGCCTGTCCCTGAGCTGTAACTCACACCCTTTCCTGGTAACTCCCCCCATTTTATATACTGGGTGTGATGTTTTATCACATAGAATGTCCCTTTGGCCACTTTGGTCAGTTGTCCTGACCATGCTCCCTCCCAGCTTCTTGTGTACCTCCTCACTAGCAGTGCAGGACATACTGAAAGTCCTTGACTTGGGGCAAGCACCACATAGCAACACCTAAAACATCAGCTATCAACATTATTTGCATACTGAATCCAAAACACAGCACTGTATCAGCCACCAGGAAGCAAACGAGCACTACCCCAGACTATTTAACTCATATGAAATGTTCCTTCTTTTTCTAGCATTGAAATGTTTCTATTTTTTTCCCCCTAGCAGATTCATGTTTTGAATGGCTTCTCCCGTGTAAGTTTTTCGAATACCTAAGGTCAGAACTCTTCAACTCAGCCAAGAGTTTATCAGCAAACATATTTCATATGATATATATGCAGTATATATTCATATGATATATATTGCTATACTGCAAAACTGTTGACCAACATATAGAAAGTGCAGCAAGGCTCTTGGCCATGAACTACTGACACATGACTCTGGTCTGCACATGGCTCCGTAGCTGTTAAGGGCAGCAGCCCCTGGCTGATGTTAGCAGCGGAAGAGCTGCTGGATAACCAGGACCCTTGAGCAGTGGCAGGCAATGAGGCAGCAGGGACTCCAGAGGCTGGCACTGACAGCTCATGCTGGGATCTGGGTGCATTCTTACCCAGGATCTGGTTTATAGAGGGATGAGGGAATCCTTGAGCAATCACCATCATCTCCCATCTGTGAACCCCATCGGACACTCCCCCTCCCACCCTTGATTCACACTAAAGGGAGCGTGACTCACGACCATAATGGAAATTGCAGCACGTGGCTTGCAATTCAGGAAGGGAGCCAGCCCCAACAGTGAAAGAGGAGGCAGGGAGAAATAAGCATTCATGCATATTTAATATGTGTCTATACCTTAATCACCAATAATTTTAAAAGTCCAGTTTCAATAGCACTGCAGGACTGCCTTGAGGGCCCAGGTACCATATAAATAAATCAGTGAGTGATTTATTGTTGTAACAACAAATAAGATCAGGCTTCCACAGCAATTCCTTGACACATGAGCCTGAGCATTGGGCTGTTTTCCAATGTTTTTAATTCACGGTGTAAGTTATTAATTGTACAAATTGTAAGGCCCTTAACCAAGTGGTACATGTGTGAGAAATGCCAACTGTGGATTCTGCCAACTCTTCAGGACAGTGTTGCGGAAAAGTTTCTTAGTAAATTAAAGACCTGTTATATGAGCTACAAACCCATGAAGGGAAATGCACATAGTTCAGCCTCTAAGTCTGCCAAACTCACTGTATAATCATGAACAACTCTGCCTGTACGCCTCAAAATCTCTCTCCTAAAACAGGGCTCCTGCTTGCTTCTGTTTCCTGTTTGTCTCTTAAGACTGTAAGTCTTCAAGGCAGGTGTTTTACTGTTTACTGTCAACTCTCAGTCATCTATGGGCAATTCATTCTGCTGGTTGATTAATCATGTCCTGGATACTTGGCTGATTCCTGGCAAATTTTATTGAACACCGCATTGCACAAATGCAGCTACACAAGCAGTCTCTGAACCGTGCTGCTCGGTGGGTCGTGTTGCACCCAGGGTTTTGCACTGCCCAGATACAGGACCCACTGCAGTAATTGCTCCTGTGAGAGAGATCCATAAAGTTTTAACAGGAAGTTCCCTGGTGAATAAAAACTTTCTTACTATATGGGGGGGCGTTCCTTCAGCTTTAAAAGCAGAAAGCGTTAATGTTTAACATCTGAGTGACAGTGGTTTTGAGCTTCTGATACTGAAAACAATGTACTGCATGCTGGCAAGCCCTAACTTCTGTCAGAAAGAGGTTAAAATCCTCTGCAGGTGAGCCTCTTGCCTGGTGTAGCTTGCTGCCTTGCAAGCAGAACTCACAGAACACAAGATGTTAGCCAAACCAAGCTATTTTCTGTAATTATACTGCTCTGTAGGTGAAACAACATTCTTAAAAATTGGAAAACACACTTGAATCAAAGTAGGTGGTTTGTTCTAGAGGCCGGTAATTAACATCCTTGCCAATTTTCAGTGTACTGTGAAGTGTGATTGAAATGGTAGACTGGAAGGAAATGTTTGCAGCTGACACACCTACTCAGAGAGATTAACGGCTAGTCTCTTTGGAGAACTATCATAAAAATACACCTAATGTTCCACTTGCTGTTCAGGACAAGAGTCAGAGGCACTAGAATCTTAAGACCATTATTTATGTCAGTTTTTCAGCAGAAAAAACTGCACTGATTTGACTGGGTTTGCATCTGGGTTTGTACCAATAAAAATATCAGCAGAATCAGGTTCTTTGGATTAAAAAAAAACCCAAAAACCAACAAACCCAAGAGCTACAAAAAGTGAAGGGAAGAAAAACAGACATTTTTTAGCCTCCTCAGTAACTTCCAGTGGAGTTGATACTAGGGAGCTTCAAGAGACCAACAAAAATCCAAGCACAAGAGTCTCTGTGCACAGCATGCAGCCATGCGACAAAATGACCCATTGTTCACAGGCCTGAAGGGTGGTAAACACAAATAAACGAGTCAAATATCCTCCCAAGGCAGAGATGTCTTCCTTCACTAGAAGAAGGAAAGCAAAACAGTGCTCATCACAACGTTAAATTGCTAACTAAAATAATGGCATCTGCTCTACAGTAAAGAATTTGGAAGACTCCTAAATGTATATTGAAATGCATCCATACTGCATATGGCAAAAATCCTGCATGAGCTCACCTCTAGTAATAACAATAGCTGCTTGAGAACTTTTTAACAAAATATTGTTCCTCTGGAAAATGTCAAGCTGTGGAAATCAGAACTTTTCACAGAAATTTATTTGTTTTGATTAAATTGTTTTGGAAGGTAGGGTAAAGAAGAGGCAAGAAGAATTACATGCAGGTTCCTCTGGTGGTGGTTTCCCATAAAAAGGCCACTTTAGAGGTGAGCTTGGTCACCTTTTGGTATAGGTGTTACTCTCAGCAAAGCTCCTTTTTAACCCTGAAAGGGTATGATGATCTCTTGGATACTGTGAAAAATATTTCTGAAGATTTTGTTTTGTCCAGAAGTTTTTACACTTTCATATTTGGTTTAATGTGGATAGATCCTTTCTCATTCTCTGTCCCCCTATCCACCTTACTGCAAAGGAGAATTGTTGTTGCATTATTTTCCCATTTTTCATTTTAGCAGTTATTTGGTGAAAATTTAAATTTTCCAATTAAATATAAAATCTAATCGCTACCTATCAAACTTAAAATAGCTGGTCTCAACTAATGAAAATCTTGGTACTGATCTTTTGCTGTTGCTTTTGCCTCAAAACATTTAAAAGAACAATGTCATGTGTTTTCTTACCACAAAGTCTGGGAAAAATACAAGATATAAGCAAAGGAAAACAGAGGATAAAACTAGTTTTTATCTTTTCCTAATTCCTCTAGGGCAAACATGAGCACTCTCAACGCTAATCTGAATTGAAAGAGGTAAGAACACACAGCCTCCTATGCTGTCAGGTTCTCTCTGGAACCTCGCCTTTGTGTGAGAGATGGCTTTTGTAAGACTTTTCAATATCCAACAGAAAGGAAAAAAATCCAATTAACTTGACTAATAAAGTTTCATAGCTTTTAAAAAAACTGATTTATTTTCTCATGCATTTATACAGAACATTACATATATATATATATATATATAAATATATATAAATAAGCATTTACTTTTCCTTTCAGAGATAGGCTAAATAAACAACCTTTTCTGTTGCCTCTCACTAAACAGGCTCTTCATTACCCTGATCAATTTAAATGCATCTCTCCTCAGTACTCTGTACTCATGCCAGTGGAAACCTCTTACCTGACACATTCTTGTACACTTTTTACTCCCAGTCACCCTCCAGCCTGTTCTGCACACTACACTGGTATTACCCAGTTGACAGTGGAAACTCTTATTCATCCTGAAAAGATAATACCTTACACTTGGCACCGAAATTCCACCCCGCTGCTTTTGTTTTTCCAGTACTTGAGGCCATCCCAATCTTTCTGCAAGACAGCTTGAACCTACTTTGCATTAATAATATCTCCACGCCTTATTAAAAACAATTCCCAGCTCTGTATCATCAAGCAATTTTGTTGGCACACTGCTCCTCTTCATGCCAAAGGTTCTCAATGACAGCATTAAAGAAAACTGGTTCAGCACCAGCTGGTAAGAAATTGGAGAGAAATTCCACTAGTGAAATCCTTGGACCTTAACATTTCTTCCTTCAAATCTGTTTGCTGCTGCCTTCCTGCTAACTAGTTCCTTATTGCCTTTGACTAATCCCTCATCTCCTTCATGGGTACATGACATTTTGCAGACAGACATGAGTTAAACGTGCCCATTCTTCCAAACAAGAGACGCTGGGTGAACCCAGCGAGCAGCAAGCAGCATTTCCCACATTAAGCTTGTACCTGCTTGTAAAATAACAATATATGCATTCCCCGCTGTAATTAATAATTTTCCATATGGCACAACC